TAAATCTAATGAACTCAAACTGAATTTTTACATACACACCTGTGTAAGTGAAAGCTGTTTCATTCACACTAAAAGAGAAAAAGATAGACAATACAAGTGAAAGAAGAGCAAGCATTACAAAATTGAAACTGAAATAATATACACGCAACTTCCTTCTTTTTTGGTCCTTACACATATCCATTGTCATTCACTTTGGTTAAAGAGGCACGGTCTGTCATGTGCTAAAAAAAATATAAAATTCAATTCCATATTTGAATATACATAATTTGTATATTACTTATAAATATAACATCTGCGTTATATCCTTTTGCATAAATCTTACATTCGCTGGTAACAAATTTAAGGATTTGTTTGTTTGGTTGTTTGTAGTATTTATTGCTTTCCATATAAAAACAAAATACAAGTGTACGTTAAAAACAAATTAAATAAATAAAAAAGCATAAACAATATAGTATTATATGGCATAGCAGAGGATAACTCTTTAAGCTGGGATGCTTGTTTCAGAAGGGGTCCTCATCAAATATATACATACAACATGAAGATAATTATCAAATTATATACAAATACAGGTATAAATAAAAAATAATGATAATAATAATTTAAAAAAAACATTATAATAAAACAAAATCATTATCACTCAACAAATTTGTATATTACAAAATATAAGTTTAAATACAAAAAAAGAAAATTTTATAGAAAAAATAATTAATTTTTATAACCACAATTAAAATAAAATAAATTTTTTTAGAAAGAAATCTGTAAATCAGAAAAACTTTAAAAAAAAATCTATCTCTGGTTGGAAGTTCACAACTTATTTGATCCTTTTACTGAGATTTTTGTTTTGGCAGATTGTTATCTTTAATTGAAAAGTAACACTTTTTCCTGACACAATTTTATGTCTTGTAAGTTATTACTGGTCCTTTGTTCTGTGGTAATAAATACTTATTGTTTCCTGGTACAAGCCTTCTGCATGATGTACTAATACACTTGTTAGTGCAATAGGGAAATTATTATCAAAATTGTATCCTTGTGTTCATTTGATAAAAAGTTATTCTATTGAATTTATAGACAGTAGGCTTACATCTTTAACATTATCCTGAAATAAAATAACTTATTTTATCATTAAATGTATTATGATGATTTTCATATTATTTACTAACATAAACCCATTTATAATTTATTATATTTTTTTGATAGCAAAGGTTAAAAAAAAAGTTTGTTTTTACTTTAACAACACTTAAACCGCAAGGGAAAGGAGCACTATAAATATCCAGTTTCCATGGAACCGTTCACCCTATCGGAGACAGTTGCTGACAGCCGTTGGGAAGGTTGAACCTGGTTCAACTCTGCTGATTGCATTGCAGACGAATCGGGGATTCATTGCTAGCTGCCCTGACGCAATTGGGAAGCCAGGCTGATAGGTCTGCAACGCAATCGGCAAAGTTGAATTGATAGGGTGGGCGATTCTTTGAGCTTTACCAGTTAAACAAAAATCATATAATGCTCCAATTATCATTTTATTTACTCTTCATTAGTAATGAGGAACTTAAGTGTATTGAACTTACTCTGTCTGATTTATTGTTTTAATATCAGTCACAATAACAGGACCAATGAGAAAGGATCCAGCAATGCCAAGGTATGCAGCCGAGGAGGTCAGTGCAGTGGAGGTTGTACGTTGGGTTGGTGGGAACCATGTGGCTGAGATTAATGTTGGTGCAGACATTAACACTGGCCCAGCAATGCCAATACATATGTGTCCAATATTCATTGTCCTATAGATAAGAAAATAATTATTACAGTACTTACAATAATAGCAAGAATGAAACTTTTATGTAGTGTAAACACAAATCAATTAAATATAATATATAATATTTAGTTGCTTTCCTTGGATAAAAGTACTTACTGTACTATCAAAATGTTTAGAATACCAACAAAAATTCAACAATAAACAAACCATAAAAATATTGAAACACATTAGGCCGACCAGCACTTTCGGCGGTAAAGAACAATTAAAACCTCATAAAAAAGGCAACTAATCCGTTTACCTATAATTGAATCCAAGGACACCAGTGTTAAACACTCAGTACTTTTCCTTGATAATGTGTTAATCCAATTAATATAGTGAGATAACCTAACGTTAGTTTATCGAGGGCGGGTTGAGCTAATGAAAAAATGTGAGAGTTAAATTTTAGGTGGCCTATTTGTTTTAATGCATGAAGAAGGCTTTGTTTGAGTTTAAACATCAGGCAACTTACATTATGACAACATTGTAACTTAAATTATTTTACATGATCACCATATGACATATAGAATTTTATTTCATTTTATTATTTATTTTTATACTATCCTATTTGGAATATTTAAAATACAAAACATATCATGATTGCCTGAATTACAACAGCCTTTTTTTTAACTTTAAATTTGTTTTAATCTAAAAAATAAAGCATTAAAATTCAAAACTTTATTATTATTACTTGAGAAATTCTCAACCTACAACAGTTCTTTTCAGAACTATCTACATGGTGTACCCGTGCATTAATATATTTCATTACTTCGCCATGCAAACCTTCAAACAATTATTATAATTAATACTACTGGAATTATGTTATCATTAATACAAATATTGTTTTCTACTTTACTACACTTTGTTTCTTTTTTGGCTACTGGTATGCCTATAGTACATGTTCATCCATATTAAGAACACTGCCCTCAATTCTATCTTAAATTTTACACTCTTATTTATTATGTCAATAAAATTATATTTTCTTCTTTCTTCTTAAATGCTTTTGGCAGTACAGTTCTATTTTGCTAAACGAGAATACATTCCCCCCCCCACCCCTCCCCTTCC